TTCCTCGCAGCCGCCACGGACTGCAGCAGCTACTTCAAGCTGGGGGTGAAGGATACCACCTTCCAGAAGTGTGAGCACACCTCCCTGTGCTACGCTCCCAGCTGGGTATGCGACGGCGCCAATGACTGCGGAGACTACTCGGACGAGCGTAACTGCCCAGGTGAGAGTGGGAGGGCAGAGAGGGCTCGAGGGGACGGGGGCATCGTGCTAACCCTCCAGCCAGCTGTGACCCTTTGGGGTCTGTTTAGGCTGTGGATGCTTCATCTGCCCACTGGGACTGTTGTCCTCTGCCCGTGCAGCTCCTGCGCAGAGAGTGCTGGGGTATTGGGTCTCAGGGGAGGAATCCTTCAGTTCTGGGATGGAGGGAGGCAGGATGTGGCTGTGCTGCCACCCTTGCTAACGTTTCCCTCACAATCCAGGTGGGAGGAAGCCCAAGTGTCCAGCCAACTACTTTGCCTGCCCAAGCGGGAGGTGCATCCCCATGACCTGGACCTGCGACAAGGAGGATGACTGCGAGAATGGCGAAGATGAGACCCACTGCAGTGAGCGGCAGGGTGAGGAACCAGGACTTGGGCAATGGCATGGGGTGGCAGTTCTCCTTCCCTTATCGCCTTGCACTGACCTCCCCTCTCCTTCTCTCCCAGACAAGTTTTGCTACCCTGTGCAGTTTGAGTGCAACAACCACCGTTGCATCTCCAAGATCTGGGTGTGTGATGGTGCCGATGACTGTGGGGACGGCTCTGACGAGGACAGCCGCTGTCGTGAGTCTGCTCCAGCCTTTCTCACTTTCCTCTTCAGTCCCTGCCTGCTCTGTCACTGTGTTGCTGCCTCCGTGTTCCTCCCACTCGTCCCTCTCCCACCTCTGGTCTCGATGCTGTCTTGGGCTCTGGATCTTGGGGCTCACTGGAGACATGCCCTTCCTCTAACTGGGGGGTGACTGCTCCTTCCTTCCCCAGGGCTGACGACCTGCAGCTCAGGATCCTTCCAGTGCCCAGGCACCTACGTGTGCGTGCCGGAGCGCTGGCTCTGTGACGGAGACAAGGACTGTGCGGACGGAGCAGATGAGACCATCGCTGCTGGCTGCCGTGAGTCCCGAGAGCAGGGGCTGGGGAGGCAGGAGAAACAGGGGTCTGGCAGGGACTGACAGTGGTGCCCTATTGTAGTGTACAACAACACGTGTGACGAGCGGGAATTCATGTGTGGAAACCGGCAGTGCATTCCCAAACACTTCGTCTGTGACCACGACGATGACTGCGGTGATGGCTCCGATGAATCCCCAGAGTGTGGTGGGTGTCTGCAGGACTGGGGGGTACAGTGAGGGCCCTGGCAGCCACACTGGGTCTCCCAGGCTTTGAGACAGGACCCTGGGAGGGTTTTCATCACCCAGGAGGGGTTTGATTTGAGAGCAGGAAGAGGAGAGCTCAGGGAGGAAGTGGGAGGGGTTCAGTGGCTGGAGTGCTGTCCCACAGCCCTGCTCCAGGATGTCCACGCTGGCACAGGGATCCAAACCCACGGAGGGATCTGTGGCCCATGGTGCAGGCCTGTCCCAGGCTAACTGTGGGAGGTTTGGGCATGCATGGCTCCATGGTGCCTCCATCTCTCCGAGTGGCTTCGTGGTGCCCTTGGCTCTGTGGGTGCCTGCTGAGCCCCCCACCCTCCCACAGAGTACCCCACCTGTGGCCCCCACGAGTTCCGCTGTGCCAACGGCCGCTGCCTCAGCAACCGGCAGTGGGAGTGCGACGGGGAGTTCGACTGCCATGACCACTCGGATGAGGCACCCAAGAACACACGCTGTAACAGCCCAGGTACCTGCATGGGCCACGGTGGAGTCCCAGAGGGAAACCAGACCCCAGCCACCCCCTGCTGACTGCTGCTGCCTCCTCTCTGCAGAGAACAAGTGCAACGACTCCTTCTTCCTCTGCAAGAATGGCAACTGCATCTCCGAGGCGCTGCTCTGCGACAACAGTAACGACTGTGCTGACGGCTCCGACGAGCTCAACTGCTTCATCAACGAGTGTCTCAACAAGAAGCTGAGTGGCTGCTCCCAGGAGTGTGAGGACCTCAAGATTGGCTACAAGGTAGGGGTCCACGTGCTGGGGGGACCAGTTGGAGGGATCATAAAATCATGATCTGGAAGAGACCCACAGGGATCACCAGTCCAACTCTTGGCCCTGCACTGGACACCTCAACAATCCCACTATGTGCCTGAGAACATTGTCCAAACATTTGTTGAGCTCTGGCAAGCCTGGGTCTGTGACCACTGCCAGGGGAGCTGTTCAAGTGTCCAGCCACCCTCTGAGGGAAGAATCTTTTCCTCATATCCAGCCTAAACCCCCCTGACACAGCTTCATGCCATTCCCTCTCCTTCTTCCTTCACGGACACGAGGGTTGTGTCTGTCCTGTGCCAGCTGGGCAAGGGACACGGACACAGGCACTTCTGGCACTGCTTGTGCATCTCAGCTGTCTGCGCTGAGCCCACGTGTCCCTCGATGACACCTGCCACCTCCCAGCACCTGTCACCTCCCAGCGTGCAGGCCTTGGAGGTTCTGACAGCTCCGTGTTGCCCCTGCAGTGCAGATGCCGTCCTGGGTTCCGGCTGAAGGACGACGGGAAGACGTGCATCGACATCGACGAGTGCTCCACCACCTACCCCTGCAGCCAGAAGTGCATCAACACCCTGGGCAGCTACAAGTGCCTCTGCACTGAGGGCTACAAGCTCAGACCTGACAATCCCACCAGCTGCAAGGCTGTCACAGGTGAGAGCCAGGTGTGGGCACAGAGCCTGGGGTGCTGCTGGTGACTGTGGGATGCTGCTGGTGGTGGAGTCAGTTACAAGGCGAAGTGGCTGCAGATCCACAGGGATTTGCCCATGTCCCGGTGGCACTTCCCTGCCACCACATCTCCTGCTTTTCCCTTCAGATGAAGAGCCCTTCCTCATCTTTGCCAACCGGTACTACCTGAGGAAGCTCAATCTGGATGGCTCCAACTACACACTACTCAAGCAGGTGCAGGGGGGAGCTGGGAGCAGGAGGGACACCAGCCCTGCACAGCTGAGGTTTGGGGATGGAGGGGAGCCCTGAAGGACATGGGAGCTACCAGCTGGGGGGTTTGGGCTCTTGGCTTTCCAGGAGGATGGTAGATCCGTATAAATGGCAGGATGTCCTTATAAGCAAGGACTGAGAGCTGAGGCTGGCGGCTCATTGGTCTTTGTAAAGCCTCTGGGAGCCTGTGCCAGCAGGTGAGACTGCTGCAATCCTTCTCCCTCCCTCCTTCAGGGGCTGAACAATGCCGTGGCTCTGGATTTCGACTACCGGGAGCAGATGATCTATTGGACCGATGTCACCACGCAGGGCAGCATGATCCGCCGCATGCACATCAACGGCAGCAACGTCCAGGTGAGGGGCTGGGGAAGCCCCTGGAGTACCCCTGGTCCAGGCAGCTGGTCCTCACCCACCTCCTGCCCTGAGAGGCTGCCCAGAGGGTCCTGGGCTGGCACCCGGGGTGCCAGGGAAGGGGCACCAACCCCATCATCTCTGTTTCCTCCTGGCAGGTTCTTCACCGGACAGGGCTCAGCAACCCCGATGGGCTGGCTGTAGACTGGGTGGGAGGCAACCTGTACTGGTGTGACAAGGGTCGGGACACCATTGAGGTGTCGAAGCTCAACGGCGCATACCGCACCGTGCTGGTGAACTCAGGCCTGCGGGAGCCCCGCGCGCTGGTGGTGGATGTGCAGAACGGGTGAGAGCTTGGGGTACTTGGTCCTTCCCCTCTGCGCTGGGAGAGTGTAGTGGCCATCTTGCCCTA